CTGATAGGCCAGTCAGGAGCAGCAGATCCAACAACCTGCTGACAGCATGTTTATTCCTGTTGTAATTAAAGGCAGTGTTGGTGTGCTGCTATCCACACACTCTGCTCTCTGATTGTTCCACCTGCAGCAGCTCAACAGTGTTCAAACCCTCACTGACCTTCTGCATCACATCAACCTGAAGCTAAGACGACCAGCTCTGTTCCTGCAGTCTGTCACAAACATGATAGATTTGCTTTTTCTTTCTTTCTTTATGAACACACTCCAGGACAGACGGGGCGTCGAGTATCTCCTCAGAATGGCTTGAATGAGGGTTTGAGTCCATCTCCTCAGTCCCAGGGCTGAACAGCATCGAGCTTTCCTATCTTCTCGTTAAAGCTCTCCACCTTTGTTTTTGTGGTTTGGTCACAGTCTGGAACTCGCTGGCGTTCACATTCTGATGTGCTGCCTGCCAAGAGGTTTACGTTTGAAGCCGTTAAATGGTCTGTTGATGTTTAACAGAGGTGATCGAGTGCAGCCAAGACCCTCCAACAGCATCTGAGTTCTAAAGCTCACATATTTCTGACTCCATGGCAGACGGACACCTTTGTTGTGTGACCAACCTGTTTAACTTTTGGTAGTTAAAAGTGTTTAACCAGCGACTAGTCTTGTTCAGTTCATTTTACGATGATCAGTTATTGTCAGTTAATTAATACTTGAGGACGGTCCAGTAAACGATGACCTGCCGTGTGCTGCGGTGCTGTTCACCACTTTATAGAATTAAATGTCCTCACAAGTGACACCCGCTGCTTCCTCGGTCTTTTCTGACCAATGAGAATTCATTCCTGAGTCCAGAGCAACAAGCAGGTCTTTTGTGATACTTTCCACATTTGTAGGTATTTGTCCATCTGTCCACCTCTGTGGCCGTCTGCATGCTGCACAGAGTGAACGTAGCCGTGGACGCTACAGGGCGCTGAAGCTCAGGCCTGGAACACATGCAGCGTTTATTAGACTTTGTTCAGCTCTCAGCTCTCCACAGCTTTCATTTAAACTGAATCACCTTTTTATACCCACATCGGAGCCATTGGACTTCTCTGAGAACATCAATCAAGCAGAACATTCAACTATAATCTGACATCTTAATCAATAATAATGTGCTTTACTTTTTTTTGTTTGTTTTTGCTGTTTGTAAAACAATAAATTTGAAAATTCCTGGATAACAATAAAAATGATATTTTAGCATTAAAAATGTCATTTGTGTTAAAGAGCTGCTCCATGCTGGTGTATGAACCGTTACAGAAACATGACCGATGCTGGTCATTCAGGGCGCTGACACTGGGTGGAGGTCTAGTACACTTGTGAAGCTCTGTACATGCTTGCTTACTACTCTGCTATGGAGTGGAAGCTTCCACGCAGACCAGAATGTCGTTTAACAAATTCATTCATGGTTTTTGTATAACTGATGTGGGCAGCAGATGTGCAGGTGGTTCTGGTCGTACCAGGGTCTGCTACACAGTCAGCTGCAGTGTCTCCTGTTAAATGCAGAAAACACTTTATCTTTAAAGGCTGTGACTTTAGGCTTACAGGACATGGACCTGACTGTAGCACCGGATCACTGTGTGGAGCACAGCAGGTGGACAGAACTTCTGGAGAATTTAGAACTTCTCTCTGTGTTTGGATCTGATGCTTTCCATCGACAGAGCCCAAAGTCCAGCAGCACA